GAGATGATGCATGGATGATGAATGAATGATTGATGGGTGATGAATGGATGGATGGATGATGGATGAATGATGGATGTATGGATGGATGGATAAAAGATGGATGGTTAAGATTGATGAATGGATGGATGGATGATAAATGGATGGATGGATGATGGGTGGATGAATGATGAATGGATGAATGATGGATGACAGATGGATATTGGATGATGGATGGATGGATAAAAGATGGATGGTTTAAGATTGATGAATGGATGGATGGATGATAGATGGGTGGATGAATGATGAATGGATGAATGATGGATGACAGATGGATATTGGATGATGGATGGATGTATAATGATGGATGGACGGATGATGGATAAATGATGAATGATGGATGATGGGTTGAAGATGGATGATGATGGATGATGGATGATGATGGATGGATGATGGATGGATGAAGTTAATTAAAAGTTGTTTTATGAAGAATTTATCTTACGGGAGGGTTTTTTTTGTCAAACTGACTGAATTTACCTGATAACTGCAGTGAATCAGGAAGTGTTGCCATGGCAACGGCTCATTTTACTTCATTATTTAAGGAGAGGTTTTAACTGGGCGTTCACTGGAACCACGTACGTTTTGAAGCTTCTTTCCTACATCAGATGTATATTTTCATATTAACTTAAATCCAGTTTTACAGAAACCTACACTCATTGGTTGGTGCTTTGATTGACAGGTGACACGCACAACAGCTGTGCACGTGACTCCGCCCCTCTCTGAGTGAGCTCCTGCCAATAAAAGTTGTTCCTGAACTTTGTGGTAAACTTTGTACCCACAGGAAGTCTCACGTCTCTTCAAGATGATCGTCCAAGAAAATAATCGAAACCAGCTCCGTCTGTGTGCACGTGTGTGTGTGCACGTGTGTGTGTGTGTGCACGTGTGTGTGTAGATGTACAACCTATGCAGCTCAGTACCTTTTGTCACTCGACTGTTGATGATTAAATATCTTCAGTTTAATATGAACTCTGAGGAAGTTTATAAAAACTTTCTGTGGCCGCCAGGGCTACTGATGAAGTACGGCTTTGGTTCATTTGTGATTTTTATCATTAATGAGAAAATACGTTTGATAATTTCTCAAAAGGATGAGACAGTATTATGAGAAGAGACAGTTTCTCATCGTTGAGAACATAATTTTATAGTTATGGGATGTATACTTCATCTGGATGAAGTTGTAATAAGATAAGATACTGTTCAGTATAGACAGTATAAATATATAACCTTTTATTTACAGTATATCGAAATAGAATAGGAAATTTTATCACATCATTATTAAATAGTGCAATATGATAATGTAATAAAGTACGAGAAGTATGATATTAAGAGAATGAAGAGTAAGAAAGTACTTATGAAATACTATCTTGAAACAATAAGTTATACTATTTAAGACATTAAACTATTTGCATGAGAAAGTATGATGAAGCATCTCATTAAAATGAGATAGATGTCTGAGATAGTACTTACAAGATACTAGTATAGAAAGTATAAAACAGATATACTACAGTATATATACTATGAGATAGATGTATGAGGTAGTATCTCATAATTACTAGACAAGATGCAACTATGAGATTTTTTCTCATCGGTATGAGACCGAAGAATAGAAATGTAAATATGAGATCCGATCTTAAAATGATTATAGCAACTTGAGAAGGTCCCAGAAGTTTTCCTTCCACCTCTGGAGGTCAGCAGCACCTTCACTGAACAGTGTTGGTAAAGAGCTGCTTCTCCTCCTCAGCCGCCTGAAGGTTTGACTGAATCTCCTCAGAGTCGACCGAGAGTCTCTGTCCAGGGTCTCATCAAACTCCTCCCACATCCAAGCTTTTGCCTCAGCAACAGTGAAGGCTGCAGACCGCTTGGTCCTCCGGTGCTCCTCAGCTGCCTCCGGAGTCCCACCAGCCATCAAGGACCGATAGGACTCCTCCTTCAGCTCGACAGACTCCCTGACCCGGGGTGTCCACTGCTGAGGTCATGGATGGAGTTCATGGATGGAGCTCATGGATGGAGTTCATGGATGGAGGTCATGGATGGAGCTCATGGATGGAGTTCATGGATGGAGGTCATGGATGGAGGTCATGGATGGAGGTCATGGATGGAGGTTATGGATGGAGTTCATGGATGGAGGTCATGGATGGAGTTCATGGATGGAGGTCATGGATGGAGTTCATGGATGGAGGTCATGGATGGAGGTCATGGATGGAGTTCATGGATGGAGGTCATGGATGGAGGTCATGGATGGAGGTTATGGATGGAGTTCATGGATGGAGTTCATGGATGGAGTTCATGGATGGAGGTCATGGATGGAGTTCATGGATGGAGTTCATGGATGGAGTTCATGGATGGAGGTCATGGATGGAGTTCATGGATTTAGGTCATGGATGGAGTTTATGGATGGAGTTTATGGATGGAGTTCATGGATGGAGTTCATGGATGGAGTTCATGGATTTAGGTCATGGATGGAGTTCATGGATGGAGTTCATGGATTTAGGTCATGGATGGAGGTCATGGATGGAGTTCATGGATTTAGGTCATGGATGGAGGTCATGGATGGAGGTCATGGATGGAGTTCATGGATTTAGGTCATGGATGGAGTTCATGGATGGAGTTCATGGATTTAGGTTATGGATGGAGGTCATGGATGGAGTTCATGGATTTAGGTCATGGATGGAGGTCATAGATGGAGGTCATGGATGGTCACCGTGAGAAGAACCGACAACCTTGCGTCCACAGTTGAAGATCTCTCTGACGGGTTCTTCTGCCAGATGTTCCCAGCAAACCCTCACTACACGTTTGGATCTACCAGGTCTGTCCAGCATCTTCCCCACCTCTGATCCACCTCACCACCAGGTGGTGATCAGCTGAAAGTTCAGCTCGTCTTCAGCTGAGGGTCCAAAACAAACGGCTGCAAATCATACGACACGACTATGAAGTCCATCATCATCTACGACCTACAGCGTCCTGGTGCCACGTGCACTCATGGACTTTTAGCTAATCTTTGCTGATTTTACCAAATGCTTTCATTTTAGCTAGTCTTCTGCTACTTGCATTTAGCTTTTTTTTCTCCCAACTTTAACCTGCATTTTACCCATTTTTAGCTTTAAGCTAACTTTTGTTGCTTTTTTCAGTGTTTTACAACTTTAAGCTAGCTATGTTTAGCTATTTTAGCTTTTAGCTAGCCATTTGCTACCTATAGCTAGCCTTTTTGCTACTTTTAGCTTTAAAAGGTAACTTTTTCAGCTTTTTCCTACTGTTTTAAGCTAGCTGTAGTTTAGTTATTGGTAGATTTAGCTATTGTTTTGCTGCCTTTAGCTATCTTTTTTAGCTTTAAATGTAACTTTTGACACTTTACCTATTGTTCTGCTACTTTCAGCTAGTTGTTCTTTTGCTGCCTTTAGCTTTTAGTTGGTGTTTCGGCACTTGTAAGAGACGTTTCTTTTAGCTTTAACATCTACAAGTTCTTCGGCTAATTTTAGCTGTTGTTCAGCTTCTTAACAACCAAAGACATTTCCTCTGCTTCTGTTTGTTTGTTCGTCTTTGATGGAAGAGATGAAGCTGTTTATCAGCAGACACCAGATAAACAAACAAACAAATACTAATGAGCAGCTGAAGGACTTTAGCTTCAGCTGATCAGCTGAAGGACTTTAGCTTCAGCTGATCAGCTGACCTTTTTCCTCTCTCTCTCCCTGTGGCAGGTGCAGGCGTGTGCGCGCGCGCGCCTCCTGCCTTCATTTCCTCATCGTCCTCGAGTCTGAGCAGAAACTGGAGGATGAAGCTCGAAGGTAAGAAGCTGCAACTTGTTTCTTTCTCATGAAATGATGATGAGGTCCAACAAGAGGACGGGTCTGCCTCCGAACCTGCAGCCGAACCTGCAGCCGAACCTGCAGCCGAACCTGCCTCCGAACCGAGCCGTAAAATAAAAACCCAACCCAGAAGAGAGTCCTGGTTGTTTGTTTCTCTTCAGGACAGGAACTCGATAAAACCAGAACCTTCAAACTGGTCGAGTTTTTTCAGAGTTCAGGAGGAAACTGTTTTTACTGGTTCTGACCTTCAATCAGCTGAAACACCTGAGGGCAGGTGCGCAAGCTGCGCGCCTGCTGTTGCGTTCAAGTGCCCTCGGAAAAGAGCCAATCCTATTCACGTGACCTGTTAACTTTATCGTGTCGGTTTGTCTGTTAGTAAAATATCTCACGAGACTTCCAGGAAGTAATCGCTGATCAATTGAAACAAGATGGCCGCCTCAGCCAACAGCTAACGCAGTCTGATCTACAGATGTTGAGCTAAAGTTTGGCTGGTAGTAGCTGAGGGTCGTCTCCAACCCGTCCTCTGAGAGCTGACACGTCTTTTGGGATTTCAAGACTTCGCAAGATCAAAACTTCGGTTCAGTTTTTTTCTTCTTCTGACTACTTCAGACTTTCAGCTACTTATTCTGACTACTTCAGAC